AAAAAAAAAAAAAAAAAAAAAAAAGAAAGGAAGAAAGAAAACGCCAGGCATTAGAGCTACCTGACAAAAATTCATGCTGAGCCTTAACTTCCAAGTGACAGTAGAACTGAAACGGATTATGTCTGCGCAGATGCCAGGGCGAAGTGAGTGACACAGGCACGTTTACAGCAAAAGGAAGGCCAGAGCCAACTGTTAATTCGTCCACAATTAAGAAACTGACAGACTTAAACTACCATATAAAATGTTACATGTATATTCTATAACAATACTGTGCTAGGTACAAGATTTTTAAAATTTTTCTTTTAATAAAAAAGCTTTACACAAACAAGCCATTAGCTTATTTCAATAAAGAAAACCGAAAATTAGTCTAAGGCCTTTGTTTTCAGCTTAAGCTATATGATAAAAAAAAAAAAAAAAAAAAAATCGCACTAGATCGTTTTTGCTCTCTTTCTGAAGCTTTTGGATCCATTCTTCAATTCACATTCTAAAATACCTATATTAGCAGTCTTCACATAGCACCAGTTAAGTGAGTTCTGTGTGAACACAGTAATAATTGCTGGTATGCATATAAAATGCATCAAAAATTGCTATATGTAACAATGAGATCACCCATCCCAATCCCTCCCCACTGAAAACTATATAACCTCTTACAGAATGTTAGTGTTCCAAGTCTTAGTGTAACTTGATATTGTAGTGAGTTGCTTGGTCCCTTTCAATCCTTCTTCTTATTGACGGGTTCAGTTGTTTCCTACTGTAAGAGGCAGTTTTCTGTCAGCGTCTCAACATGTAGTTCACTTCCCACTGAAACATGGGATAGGTAATTTACTTCCAGTAAGTTTGATTGTTTTCTTATATGCATTACAAATGTTTTAAAGTCTTCTGACTTCTCTTGATGACATCCTTGCAAATGCTTAATGTCAGGACTAGCACTAACATTCTAGCGCCCATGGGAGAGCTGCTCTTTTATTTCTCACATGTCACCAGTCCCTCCGTTTTCATAGTTACGGGAAGGGCAAGAGCTGAAGGCGCACTGACAACCACTACGTGGGTCACTGTCTTATTTCCATCTGCCGGTTTTTCTTCCTGTACCAGCTGCAAAGTTTTCACATCATGTTCCTGCTTTTTGGCCACTGCTTCCGATTTAATCTCTGGCCCTTTTATGACGGCGCTGATAACTCGGGGAGGAGTCTGGCCAGATGCCTGCTGAGGCGGCACTGCCAGCCTCATGACAGGCGCGCCGTGGGCTATTGAAACCGGGGTGAGCGCTCTCACCGCCAGTGGCGTTCCAACAATGTTAATGCTTCCTGACCCAGGCAGGTTTGACTTTGTCTGCAGCTGACACTGTGCGAGCTGTGTGGCTGGGATGGTAATGATTTTGGCAGGCTGCATGGTGATTTTGTCTGCATTTTCAGTGGAGGCTGGCATCACAGTAGGGATCGTCTGAATCACTACCTTCGGAGAGGCCGCTGTTGTTGGGCTACTGCTGGTTATCAGTGGTGCACCTGCATTAACTGACTGAACGGCCACAGTTGAGATTTTCTGCCCCAACGATGTCATTACAACAGGCACTTGCATTGCCACACGAACTGTCCTAGTAGAGGTGAAAAATAAAGTTGATTATATTTCATGTTAAACTATAAAATAGGTCTCTTGAGCAAAAAGATGAATGCAAATCCCAAACATATAAAACTAGTGCTCCCAAATTTTACAAATGTACCGAAAAACCCCTTAAGTTTAGAGTATGAAATACCATGATACGAATATATTTTAAAAACTAAAGCCTAGGGCTTCCCTGGTGGCGCAGTGGTTGAGAGTCCGCCTGCCGAGGCAGGGGACACGGGTTCATGCCCCGGTCCGGGAGGATCCCACATGCCGCGGAGCGGCTGGGCCCGTGAGCCACAGCTACTGAGCCTGCGTGTTTAGAGCCTGTGCTCTGCAACGGGAGAGGCCACAACAGTGAGAGGCCCGCGCACCGCGATGAAGAGTGGCCCCCGCTCGCCGCAACTAGGGAAAGCCCTCGCACAGAAACGAAGACCCAACACAGCCAAAAATAAATAAACGAACGAACAAACAAACTAAAGCCTACGTTAAATTCCATCCGTAAGACCCTAAAAATCCATTCAGGTTAGAGGAGACATCTACTTCGACAACAACAACAAAATACATTTAAAAATGCCAAGCACTTTTCAAAGTCCTGACAACAGTGAGTTCTTAGAATGCAAATATTAAAAAAAGGAACATATCGTTCCTGCCAAAGAGTTTTCTAAAAATTAAACCCGTTGCAACTAATGGTTTCCCTCACTTACCTTGGAGCTGCTGTTGCTGATACAGATGCGGTAGTAGTAGGAGACCTGGACGAAGCATCATGACCAGGGGGAGTGATGTTCACAACTCTAGCTACACCCTTCTCTGCTTTGGAGCAGTTTAGAGGAGATGAGTTTTTCCCACCACGCACAGAAGCTGCTGCTTTCAAGAGACTTTCTGCAGACAGTGACACTCGTTCTAATGACTTTTCATCAGCAGCTGCTGCTAAATCCTCACTGCAGGTTTCACTTTTGTCATCGTCTATGACCACTATGTTCTTGGGCATATCCTTGAACTGATATACAAGCCTCTGTCCTTCAACCTTTGCGAGAATACCCCTTTGGTAATAATATCTGTCAGGAAAAAGTACTAAATAAATCAAGTATATTACATTTGTTCTCCCCACCTCCCTACCCCCCAACAAAAACACCATGTAGAAGAGATGCTAACAGAAACATTCACTGATTCTAGTAAGAGATAAGGAGGAACTCACACTGCCTGGATTGTTCAAAAGGCTAAGAATTTGAAGTAGGAATGAAATTAGAACCTGGTGCCACCGGTCTTATATAACCTTGAGATCTGTAAAGTAGCTAAAAGCTCATTCTTAAAGGAAGTAATTTAACCTAAATACAGAATATACTACTGTACAGCTGGCCCTCCACATCCCTGGGTTCCTCATCCATGGATTTATTAACTAACCCATGGATCAGAAATACTCGGGGAAAAAAGAATTCCACCGAACAGCAAAACTTGAATCTGCCACGTGACAGCAACTATTTCCACAGCATTTACCCTGTGTTAGGTATTACGTGTAATCTAGAGATGATTTCAAGTACACAGGGGATGCAGTGGGTTACAGGCAAGCACTATCCCCACTTCCAAAGGGATGTGGGCATCCATGGAGTTTGGTATCTGCGGGGGGTCCTGGAACCAATCCCCCTCAGATACTGAGGGACGACTGTATTTTACAGACACTGGTAAAACTTTAGTTCTGATTTACATAGGTTATAAAAACAATCTGATGTTACGTGGAAAAATTACCTAAGCCATGCTTCGTAGAAGTGAATCTGTGGTGTATATGAATACTGTCACTAAACTATGTTCATTTACAAAATACCCTTCATTAGAATAAGCCACGTGCATAACAGAGTTATGTGGGTTCCTCCGACTGACAAAACTTAAGAGAAAGTTTCATATCAAGATAAATCCATTATAATAAGTTTGCAAGAACTAAAGAGCGAATTCACAATTTGGAAACTGTATTTTGTTTGGGTTTAATTTTCTGAAAGGTGCACATTTCCCACAAAAATGGATTTTCCAATGGTGTTGAAATTTTAGCCGTCTAGACCAAACTCCTGTCTCCCCACCTGCCTCCAAATACAAGAAGCTCCTCTAGAAAATCCCCCCCCAAATTACAAGCTGTAACAAATAAGGGATTTTAACAGCTTCTCTTTAAATAGTTAATAGACAATATTAAGAGACATGTAAGTTTTGTTTGAAAACTCTTTCTTTTGGGTTCTTACCTCAGAGCTCGTCCCATAGTTTCATAGTTCATGTCTGGCTTGTTCTTATGCTTTCCCCAAAGCTTAGAGACAGCCTTTGAATCCACAAGCTTGAATATGCCTTTTTCTCTCTGAGTCCACTTAATATACCGGGGACAAGTATTTTTATCTTGAAGTAGATCTAAAAGAAACTCCCACAAATAGGTTGTGTTTCCTTTGAAAACAATCAATCATAGACATTGATTAACGATTCATTAACATAATTAAAAGCAAATATTTACTTATGCTGGATAAAAAATCAATTAATTTACCACTGGTGAAGCACAAGTGTACTGAGAGTCTGTCATGAAATACTTGACTAGATCGGCAATCATTTGTACAGTGTCAAATTGTGTTGTCTAGTAAATAACAACAATTCAAGAAATAAACAACAGTTTGAAACAATATAAGCTGTAACACAAGGCCAGGCACAGTTATATTTCAAATGAACGATAGAAAATAATGTCTGAGATTTCAGGAGTGAAAATAAAGCGGATTGTTAAGGCATTATCAAGTCTTGGAAGATGGCTAAGATTTGCATAGAAGGAAAGGAAGGACTCTGGGTAGGTAAAAGAAGAAACTTAGTCCCAAAGAGAAGAGAGCATCACTCTTTTCTTTTCTTGGAAGGCTGGGGAAGAGTAGTGGGCAGTGGTTACGAGAAGACCAGAAGACTAAAACCAGGCTGCTGTTTTCCTTTTATTCCCTTTGTAAGCCTCTAGGTGCAGAGGTTCTCAAATTGATGAAAGAAGAAGAGAGTCCCGAGAAGAGGATCAGGATACACATGCCACCAGGGAGCCACCAGGTCATCTCCAGGCTCCTACTCAATGACCCTTTACTAGCCTCAAATCCAGATCCAAGTTACGGGCTACATGAGAAGAACCTCGAGGGTGGGAGGCTTCCACATCAAGCCACTGCTACTAGTCAATCGAAACGCTGATGTTTTTCTCCTCTAGCTTTTCCTTTTCATCCTGTATTTCCCTGAAAATTCAGTCAATCCATTAACCCATAGTTGAGCCCCGTGTGCATCTCTTGACTTTAAAAAATCAACCTTCAACTTTACAATGCTATTTGTATCTCTTCAACTTTCCTATGTTACATTTGTACACCAGCATCCATACCTAAAAACTCTTAGTATTAAACCGTGCATAACTTTCAACTACATAACTCTCAACTGAATCAAGATATGTATCTGGGGCATTTTTATTTTATGACCTAAAGATTATAAGAACTTATTCTGGAAGAAATTTTTGTACAACAGACAATGCCTTGCACACAGTAGGGATCTGAGTACTTCTGTGTCTACTGAATTAATCAGACTCATCAACATTCTTTAGGTTGTCTTTAAATGCTTCGCCCCAGTTCCCATCCCCAAGTTAAAATTAACAATTCTATTTCTGGTTTTAAGGAAAACAGAAGTCGAAAGGGAAGCCTTCTTTATCAGACAAGGTAGTTTACTAAGTCTATGCAGACATTATCGTCATAATTTTGCAGAAGAGGAAACACTGACTGGATTTTTAATCCAGGGATGACTGTAATCACTTTAATCTTCACATTTCAACAGGCTGCCAGGCTGCCTCAAGTTTAATCATACAAAACTGAAATTTTAATGAAAGGTGATTTTTGACTGGTAAAAATAGGTTATCACAAAATTTTTTTCCAGTTTTAAACATAAGGTCTTTGAATACAAGAGACACCACTGATGATGGGAATAATTTTTTAAAAAGTAGTAACTGGGACCTCCCTGGTGGCGCAGTGGTTAAGAATCCCCCTGCCAATGCAAGGGACACAGGTTCGAACCCTGGTCTGGGAAGATCCCACACGCCGTGGAGCAACTAAGCCCATGCGCCACAACTACTGAGCCTGCACTCTAGAGCCTGCGAGCCACAACTACTGAGGCCCGCACACCTAGAGCCGGTGCTCCGCAACAAGAGAAGCCACCGCGATGAGAAGCCCACGCGCTGCAACTAGAGAAAGCCCGCGCACAGCAACGAAGACCCAATGCAGCCAAAAATAAATAAAGTAAGTAAATAATTTTTTAAAGTAATAATTGTATATTTACAGTTCAACTTTGTAATACTACAATCATGTAAGTTTTAAAGTTTTCAATATAAATTAAAAGATAAAACCTAAGATACCAGAAATGTAAAACAACCAAAGACACAGAAGAAAATAAAAGTATCCTAAATCTGTCCCAAATTGAATAAACAGTTCCTAAATAAATAAGGGTTTACTGTAACTGGATTTTTCTTTTTCTTTTTTTGTCTAAATTTCTTGGTAGGCTTACTAGACTTAATTTTTTTTTTTTTACTAGAGATTTAATTTTTGCTTTAATTATTTAAAATGAGATATATCAGACTACCTGTTGAGGATGGAATAAATTTGAATACACGAATCCAAAATGTATCCAACTATTGAAAACATTCATGGAAGTGATAAAATTTTGGTTATCAGAACACACCTAAAACCCTTACTAAGATCACTTGAAATCAACTTACACAACAAATTATGACAGCAGAGAATGCAGAAGGCTTATGCTATTTTTGTGCTTAATGAGAATATACAAACTCTAAAGCAAACATGTTAAATTTTTGTTCTAAGATCCTTACTGACATGACTGAAATCTGCTGGTTGGAAAACTAAATTCACCTTGCATTGAATCAGTTAAGAAACGCTAAATTCACCTTGCTTCTATCAGTTAAGAGAGTATGGAGAAATGAAGTCTTAGTTTTGTAAACCTTCTTCAATTCTAAGTGACTCTCCATGAGGATGCCCGCCGTTATCCTCCAGAACCACAGCTCTTCATACAGCTGTGTATCAGATTGCAGGTAGGGCCTTTTCCAAATTCAAACGCTTGCCCACCTCCACTCCCTGCAGTTTTATCTCAGTGGGGTAAGGACCACGCATAGATAGTTTGAAAAAGCTCCACGTGTGATGCTCATACAGCCCTGATTAAGAACTGCTACCAAAGACAGTACTCTCACGTGTGCAGGTACTAGAAGTGATTTTCCTACAAATGTACTTGACTAAGAAAAACAGCATCTCACCTACAAAACAGACCTCCCCAAATTACCTTTTCCTTCTCTGGGCTTCTTCTTTATGCCTAACTCAGGAGACCCATTGGAAATTGGCGACTGCTGGGTCTTTGGTTTACGGCCAACTGGAAATAAAAGATATTGAAACCACACGTTGAAAACAGGAAAAAGAAGCATGATAGCAGGCTTTCTGATAACACATTATTCATGAAACTGGATACTAATCTATGGATTAATATATTCAGTGTATATAAAAGTTGCTTTTAAAAGAACATGAAAAGCACTTCTGCAATTTTAGATTACAGCAGTTAGTGGATAGTAATGTCAATGTACATGGCAAGTCAGGCACTACTAACCCATTATTTACATGGTCAGAGCCTCAATTTGCTAACCTTTTCCAATAATGTAGCAATGGAAACAAATTCTAGTACAAACTTTTGTTTTCTGTTCTACAGAATTGTTAGAAAAAGCTTTACCTACCGATTGCAGAAGATCTGATAATCTGCGAAGCCCTTTGAGCTCAAATGAGGAAAAGTAAAAAATATTATTTTAAACACTCTCTACTGCTCTGAGCCAATCAATTCACCAGAATTTCAGCATAACTTTCCCCACCTCAACGTGCAGGTACATTATAAGGATAAAAAAATCTTCCAAGCGATTACTTCGTAGGTCTAGTAGATGTCTGCGCCCTTCCTTTTGTCTCCCCTCACTTCTGCCGTAAGGCTCTCTCAGAGAGACTAGCATCCACAATGAGCAGAAAAGCAAGAGCTATACTTCTCTACAGTAAAGAAAGCTTAAGCCTGAAATGTGTTGTATTCAACCCTCAGCCCTGACGGATGAATGCTGGCAGGTGAGGGGAAGCCTCAAGAAAGAGGCTGGGAATATTACATATACTATTACTGATTTGGCGATCTGTCCTAACATCTGGGATTTCTGATGTCTCTGCTCTTCATTAGCAAGGATTATCTAGAGCTAAATTAAAGTGCCTTAATTTATATGTCAAAAAGCATAGTTATTATATTCTAGGATTAGAATAGGATTTCATTAAGACGTATGCTTTGGCAAAAATTAAAACAAAGTTTACTGGTCTCCCTTGTTAAAACAGAGCTTAATTTCTCAATTTAAATAATACTTATATGTACGAATCAGTCAGTTAATAAGACTGACGTCTTCACTGTCTCCTAAATTCAATCACAAAAGCCCAACTTCCTTAAAGGAAAGGTTAGCCCCAAAAGGCCTATTTTCTTATAAAGCAGCATTTCCCAAATGGTATTACATGAGAAATAGGTTATTCATCAGTAGGAAAAACGGTTTACAGCCAAATTAGCTTTAGAACCGCACGCTGTCTTCTCCTGGAGATCTGCAACGCACGTTAGTATATTAAAGGCTCTGGAAATAAAAAGAAGCCTCTACTATTAAAAAATACCTACCTAACTTTGTATGTCCCAAAGGTACTTAACCACAAATGAATAATTAACGATGTTGCATGTAATTTTTAAATTGTCATTCATTAAGACCACCCATTTTCAAATACGTAATAAGATTAGTATTAAATTGGCCAATTATTTCCTGGTTTATACCGTACCACCACATAGGCAGATCAACCTGTTTATCTAGAGGTCTTCGTTCCCTAAATGATCTCAGCTTTTCATAGTCTTTTCCCTCTTCATTTAAATCTAAAATTTTCTTAAGTATTTTGTAATAGCTTCCATAAGATACAACCAGCCGAAGGCTATAGAGGGCAGTGGGTAAACAGGGCTCTTTATATGTATTCCTTTTGTTTCTAAACATTTACAGCAGGAAGTAATTCTTCCTTCTAAACTCTCTCATTCATGCCTTTCTCAAATACATATTATCTATATTGTAAGAGGGAAGGTGCTCTGTCTCATTCTCCACTGGGTACCTCACGGCAAATGAGGCACAGACCTGTGACCATCACAGCAATTTGAAACACTGCTACCTAATAAATCAAAGATAATACCATTATTTCTGAAGCAAGTTTTCCCTTATTGTTGCCTTTGATTTTTCTTTTCCCCCATTCTAAAATGTGAAGAAAGAGACAGGGAAGAAAGTGGAATTAGATGAATACCCATTTATACAGAATTTCATTTCTTTCAAGTTTTACCTTTGATTCAAACACCCACTCAGGATGCTGAAGATGGACTGGAGCCTTGTGCCTCACCCACTGGGACCAGATGAGCACAAGCTTCAGCAGGCGTCAAATAACAAGTGGAAACGCTCTTTACCCAGAGGTGAGCTGATTCCCCTCACAAGTCCCTACGTGCAACCTTGGTGTTTTAAGGCTGAAGACAAGGGGGAGAAAACTGGGCTTTTTACTTTAACGCCCACAAAAAGAGTAGGAAGGTAAGATTACGAAAAATAAAGTCAGGAATAATTCTGTTTTTTTTTTTTTAAGGTAACCAAGTACCTAAAAGGATCAGAAAGTAGAAAAATGGGCAGTGAATCTCTGACCTTCCTTCTGTGTATCAAGCACCTATTATAATCTCACTCTGCAGGCAACTACTTTTAGGACTCAAACACTAACTCCTTTAAACAGTATGAACATGTTAAAAGACAAAATCTTAATTCTTTGAGAATATCTAATTAAGATAACATCAATCATAAATCTACAGCATATATTTCCTATGTCCTGTGATGGGGGGAGAAAGATACCAGAAAAAATTTCACCCAATTTCCCAGAAATTTATAAATACACTCTACCTTTCTTCTTTTTCATTGGTTCATGGCTATCTGGTGACGTAGGAAGAGGAGAGGTATCCATTGGTTCAGAGTCTTCAGTTGACACCTCCACTACAGTTTCTGTAATGACATCCGGCCTCATAGCAGCATGGATAAATTCTGGAGTTGATACACAAGGAGGGACAAACACTTCCACTATAAAAAAAAGTTGAAAAATTAAAATTTCCCACCCCCATTAATGCCTCTCAATACGGACAATTCAATATTTAGTAGGGTGAGGTTATTAAGAATTCATCAAAGCAGGATAAAAACTTGAAGTTAAGGCTTATTGAATATACAATATGGTCTAAAGTATGTAAGTAAATAAATGCAAAGAAAATCGACTTGAAGGAAACGTTAATCTTCTGGGTAAAGGGGGAGATCATAAGTAGTCAACCCCCCTGCTTCACACTTTTAGATACTTTCAAGTTCACTGTAGAAGACTTTGGATTATTTTGACAATTAGGAAAACATTTGAAAATAAAAGAGTATAATAGTGAGTTAATAATTACTTTCCTTCCACTCACTCATCATTATTGTCTAACTAGGAAGAACATGCACCTGGTATAACATTAAAGTAATAAACGTACATTTAGGGAGAAGCAAGCACAGTTCATTTCAAGATGTGAAAAGAAAACCTGCTCGTTACAGCCAAATGAATATCATCTTTCAATATTTAAAATTTTATTTACTGGAGCAGTCCCTGATATTTTGGGTCACTAAAATGGTCCATACAGATTTTCTAGTACATACAATAATGTTGCTCTGGCTTCCTTTCAATGTGCATGAATAACCAGGATATGACATTTCTATTTCAATTAATACATACTATCATGGATTAATATACTGACCAGTATGCCCTAATCTTCTTCTCATATCCCTGAATAATACACAGGATTCCTACTCTAACTAAAAAAGTACGGTTGATCTTAACATATGTTGAAAATCCCTATGAGAAGGGCCAATCTTAACTGTATTAAGTCAAATTAACATTTGGGCATTAAAATTAGGACAAAAAGACTCTCAAAGGCAGTCTTTAAAAAGGGGGCCAAAAAAAACAAAAAACAAAAAAAGGAAAACGTGCAGCCTGAAGGGAGTGTGAGGAAACACTGGAAGCTACCTCCGCCCTCCCTCAGGGAGCGCTCCCTGGGGTCACTGCCCATCTAGCACTGAAGGAAGGACTGAACGTGGTCATAGGTGGCAAATGCTCCCATCTGCCATTCTCTTAAGGTTTATAATTTACCCAGAGTTAAGGAAATAAGACATGATGGTATAAACAGCAATGTAACAGCCATCTGTCTGTCTATAGTGGGCGTTTCTGTTTCATTTATTTTGAAAATTAAGTATTTAAGATTTGGGAACATTGACAAATAAAAATCAATTACTGCTGTCACAGGTATTTATGTATTATAGACTTTGAGAACACCAACAATCCCCTTGGATTACCAAAGACAAAAACAAAAACTTTCTTTCTAGATACGTAAAGTGACGTGATATGTTTAATATAAAAAAGAACAGTTCACATACCAGGACTTCTTGAATCTCTCAAGCAGGTAGGAGATTCCATATGAAGCAGGGCTTCAGCAGCTTCAATTGTCTTATCTGTACAGTGTGCATTACTGCTATGAACGGATGCTTCCACTGGGGGGAAAATAAGTTCTACTCAATAAAAGTGCACTGAACACGTATGTTATTAAACTCTCACGTTAGTAACTCTAAATGAGTCATTAATACGTATTAGCCCATATAAATTACTTACAGAAATAATTTTAAAACCAAAACAACCTAGTATCTATACTTTGTAAAATGAATGTTGATTATGAAGGATTGAGATTGATTAGAAATTTCTGAATCTTACCCAAAGGAAAACAAAGACCCTTGAAATTTGAATCTTGTATCAATTTTAGGCCAAAACTAACTTGCGGGGTAGGGGAGGGAGAATGGTTGTAGATTAACAGTCCTATGAGGTCAACTGTAATTTTAATATACTGCTACTAAGTAAACACCTAGCAGAATCAGTCAGAAACTCGTATTTCTAAATTAATCAATCAGTTCAATTCTTACAGACCCTCCTGGTGAGTGCACCAGAGAACTTGGGAATTTTCTTCACAGTAACTGCTTTCTTCTTCAAGATCTCTCTGGACTTTGCTGGGTTTTACCCAAGAAATTTAGAAAGAAAGAAAAAAAAAAGAGAGAGCGCGCGCGCCTGTGTTTCTTTTCCCCTCCATGAAGCCTTTTCTAGTTCCACCACCTCTCGTAAACTCTCTTCTAACACTTACTTTATGCTTTGCTGATTAAATTATTTGTGAAACAGTAAAGTGTACAGCAGTGGTTTGGTTTTCCAGCCTCGAAAGCTGGGGCTCTAGTCTCTGCCACTTACAATTTCTGTTACCTTAGGCCAGCAATTTAATTTCTTGTAAGGCTCAGTTTCCTCTTTCACCAAACAGGAATATTACTTACCTCATACAGTTGTGAGAATTAAATGCAGTGATTCCCTTAAAAAACACGTACAATATCTCACATACAGATAAGAACTCAATAAATGGTGATAATTTCTTATCACCATTTAAGCTCCGTGAGATCAGGGAGGGCCTATCTTAATTCATCTTTACATCTGTTATGGTTCCTAACACAGACCTTTCATATAGGAGGCATGCAAGTGTTTCTTTTATGTTTTGAAGTTAAGGACAACCCACAGACCTTACAGGAAAAATAGCAATTCAAGCACAAATTCATTATCCTAATGATATAATTAATTTCACATCCCGACTTGAAATATTCTGCTTGGTAAGAGGTTCTGAAACATGAATATGTGAACGGTGTCTAATTTGATAAATTTTTCTCAAGATGTCCTCTAAAGGACTAAAAGAAAGTATTTATACAAATTTCACAAAAGCATATTATCAATTCACAAGTTCTACAACACTAAAGATATGAATCTTTTAAAATTGTTTCCAGTAAACTTTTAATTGAAAACAACTTTTTCACTTAGCCTCAAAAGTCACCGAGTGCTAAGGCCTCCGCCTCACACACCAGCCATTTGGAGAGCATTCACAGAAAATCCAGTGACTGCTTCACCACCTGCTGCACGTCATCCACACTCTCAACCAAGGTACCCGGTCTCTCCAGTTGCTCTTTCCATTTATGGAAATCTGCTCAAAGCTAAACAGTTCCAGAGAGGCAGCCAAACCTCTAAGTAAATCTATCTTTAGGTGACCCTGCTTACTCTTATCTGCAGCTTCACTGAAGCACAGGATTCAATCAGTCCTTCTAGCTCAACTTTAAGAAATTTACTATTAGTAAGTATAAAATATATTACCATTCTCAAGTATTTTCTTCAGAGTACCCCCCCCTGCAGTACTCACGTGCACTAAAGAACCTTGGGAAGCAGATTCTCAGGTTTTTAAAAGTTTATTCTAGGAACTTCATTCTCTTTAAAGTCTGCTTGTGTTGCAATTTAGCTGTTGTCTTAGGTGCTATTAATAAACCATCCTGGGTAAACTAATTCCTTATGTAATTGTATTAAGACACACCCTAAAAACTCTACCATCCTAAAGAGCTTTGAGTATTTGATAATAATACAGCAATAGAATTTTACCAGATATTTTAATGTTTTAAGTTATAAACAAAATGAAATTTGCCAACAGCTATATATTGTGCTGCCCTGAGCTCTTATGCAGTTTGAGGTATGTTTTCAAAACCATGACTTCATGTTAGTTATGTCAGTGAAAATTTTCTTGCTGTGATTTCCGACCTCAACTCCCCCTTTCTCCCTAAGTTCAAAATGCTGTTTCCCTGAAATATTTTACATCCAGAGTAAAACAAAGAGAATCCACACAAACTTCAGCAGAGAATCACTCCTTTACACTTTAAATCCAGGACGAGAATATATTAAAAATGCATCAACTCCCTACGAACTATCAGTCGGATCTAATGTTCTATGTACAGTCAACAAAGGATTGTTATAAACCTGAGACACAAGTGTGAACAGAGCTCTGGCCTCATGAAGCTTATACGAATAGTTCAGAGTATCAAAAACATGAATGGACGTAAAATATTTCAAAACAAAATAAAGATGCAAAATAACTTGACAGTTTCCAAGAATACTTAACCCAATTTGTTAGAAGTGAGCTCTGTCTCTTTTTACTTGTCTTTTGTTGACGTAAGTCAACAAGCAGTTTTTGGTAACAGAAATTTAAGAAATACTTTTCCTATTCAAGTTCCCATAATTTTTAAAAACTTTTCAATATTATTTTATTCAGATCAATAATTCAAATACAATTTAAACTAAAATTCTGCACCATTCCTAAGGATAAATATGAATGTAACATTGTTGTGCCATCGAAGTAAGCAAACTCACAAGTGGGGGCTGAGAATCCCTTACTTATCTCTTACTTAAAGCTTGATCTTCTGGTGTCTTTCTAGGCCTGCTTATGAAATTTATGGGAGTTTAAAAAAATAAGCAACTCATTTAAAAAACAGAAACAATGCAGCTAAAAGTAATCTGGCAGGTATCATCTTCTAGTTGCCCCCAGTCGGTGGCACTGCTGGTCAATATTCCTTGAAGAAATAAATATACCAAATAAATTTCCAAACTATTTTAATTTTAATCAGTGTCAAAAATTACATTTGCTTATGCCCTCCTTTACCGTTGGTTCAGAGTCTTATTGTTCCATTTCTAGCTTTCTAATCAACTGGTGTTTGTATGGAGACTATTCCAGACTCACTCGACAGCTGTTACTAAATACCAAACTTGGTAATTAAGTCTGACAAGAGACATACCTCTCAGCTTTGCAGAAGAGAATGCTGGCAATGGATCTAGTTCATAACAACGTTCTTAAAAGTCAAAAATAAAAATTAACAGCAATTTAATTTGAGAGCAATAGGAAAATATTAGAAAACACTTCATTAGGTGATAGTGGTATTCCCCTACAAGCAAGACCATAAACTAATATTTACAAGGGCATCACGCAGCTACCACACCTGACTCACCACAGCTTATTCTCTAACGCCCCAGGACTCTAACAGTTAATAGGTGAGTGAAGAACACAAACGAACAGAAAGGTAAAAGGTCTGGGGCACTCCATCTGTATCCGTTCCCCTTTGACTTTTCTAATCTATACAGCTGCATTATAAGGTTAAAAGGGGAAAGAGAATAAAATCATTTTCTACAGTAGCGCTGTCTGATAAAAATATAACGAGAGCCACGTGTAATTTTTAAAGGTCCAGTAGCCACGTTAAGAAAATAAGCAGAAGGGGAAATTAATACCTTTCATTTAACCCAGTATATCCAAAACGCTGGCATTTCAACATGTAAAAGAGGTTTACATGTAAAGAACATGTAAAGAAGTTTTTCACTGCTTCAGTTTTTATGTTTAAATTAAACTAAAAATTTGGTTAATCGGCCACATTTCAAATACTCAATCGCCAATGAGGCTAGTGGCTATGGTACTGAAAAGTATAGACTAAATAAAACTGTAACTCAGCTATTCTCAAACTTTTCGGGTCAAAGGACCCTTTTACACTCATATTACTGAGGACCACAAAGAGATTTTGCTTATGTAAGTCCTATGTTTAGATACTTATCCTATTTGAAATTAAAGCTAAGAAAACTTTAAGTAATATGTTTATGAAAAATAACTTTTCTAAAACAAAGAACAATTTAGAGAGTAGCTTTATTTTACATTTTTGCAAATCTTTTTAATACATGGCAGAAAACAGTTGGATTCTCATACTTGCTTTTTCATCCGATCTGTTCTATCAAGCCATGTAGCCTCTAGAAAACTTCTGTGAACACTCGTGAAAGTGAAAAGGCAAATAATGTCTTAGCGTTACCATGAAAACAATCTGACTTCACGGACCCCCTGAAAGAGTCTGGGGAACTCCCAGAATCCCTCATACCAGAGATTTTAGTATTAAAGAACCGCAGCTGTAATTTATTATCTAATGTAATCAACAACACCCAAATTCCATCCTCATGTTTCTGTAAGTTTTAGCTTCTAAACATAAAATCACTGTGTAGGTGAACAATTATGATTCCATTTCCATAAGTACAACAGTACTTTGTCGACTTACACATGAAGGATTTTTTTTTAAACTCTTCATAAATCAAAAACACTCTCCTGCCTGCCTCTCTGCCAATTAAATTTGTCCCTAAAGGAAACTGATGTTGGATTACCCTGAATGACTCTTTACACACTGATGTTACTCTTTCACTCAATTTCTGTATGAATTTTAGTACTAATGCTGCAATGAATTCTAAAGAGTAATTTCTTAAACACATTTCCAAATAAAGTTTTAAAAAATTTATGCCATTCTTCCAATTTTATTTCAACGCACCCTTCATCTTTTCATAGCCTGATAAATTTTTTTTTCAAATTGATGTTCTTTTCAAGATTGATACTAGATATTCCAGTTTATAGTAAATTAGAAGATTTTCTAGTTCAAATTTCATGATGAATTTTGACAAACTAGACAGATTTGTTCTGTCCGTAAAAATACTTAAGGCTGCATTTCCAGAAGAATTTCCCCCTTCCATTCACTAACCGTGTTAAAGTAGAACAATACTTCTTTCCTAAGAGTTACGCTATTTCTCAATTCTCAAATTCTCCACTTTCTCAATTTTCAATTTCTCAAAAAAA